GCTTAAAGTGATGCCTATTACTTTTTATCTGCCTGTCTTCATGTCTGATCTTATTTGTAATAACATCACGTTTCAAGCCATTGGCCATTTTTAGCCAGGGACTTGGGGCTTGCTGTGATGCCTACAGAAATGAATTTGCTGATTTTATAATTTGGTACTAGGCTTTTAGGATATAACTAAATAAAACATAAATGTACTTTGCATGATATTTTCTTGGCTTGTCCAAATCCTGCCATCCCTTGAAGTCCTACTTATACTGCCACTCCTTCAAATGAAATCTCACAGCCAGTGAACTTGGAGTGCTGACTATTCATCTCACAATTTGCCAAAACACAGATTGTAAGTTCCTTGAGGTCAGAGGAAATGTTTTATTTATCTTTGTTTTCTCATTAGCACTTCCCCCAGTGCCTTGCATAACACAGGTTTTTAATGAATGCCCGTCCAGTCATCGATCAGTCTGCCAATGCTGACGTGAGAAATGAGTCAAATCCTCTAGACTCTAGGCTGTTCTTACAGCTTTTACCAACTTGGATGAGAAACACAGAAGTTTCTGTCATTCAGAAACATGACCAGAACCAGCAGACCACAATCTGTCCTTCCAAGTTCAATAGATAAAGCCTGATATTGAGTAGTTAGGGCCAAAATTTACATGCTATGATAAACAGCTACTTATAGAGTAACAAGCTAGAAACATGCTTGCCCTCAATTACTCATTTTTCTTAAAACAAAAACAAAACAATTTTTCCCCCTCTGAGTAATATCTCAAGTATCAACTGACTTCCACCCTTGGTTTTGACTGCAATTTTAGCTTACATATGGTTTTATTTCCACACACACTCCCGCCCCGCCACAAAAGGACAGTGCAGTGTACATGAAATGGTGGTCTAGGTAGGCTATCTGGATGTTGGGTGAAGTATAAAAAAGACCTAACATTCACAATCGTGTTATGTTCTGGCCAATTACTAGGCTTCGGGTTTAACTTCTCCATCTATGACAACTACACTTGTAAATGTCAAAATGACCAGGTTTCCACAGTCGCATAGGCGCTCAGTCTTCTTTTAAGGAAAAGGCAGGTTCATAGAGAAGAGTTTTGCATAACCTTTGGTTGACACTTTATTAATGTAGGTAGAAATTTAAAAATGTTGTGCAAGGCAGGGATCATGTAGGAAAACAGTATCAACTTTGCCTTGCTGGGGGTAAGTAAATATATATTTTTCTAGAATTCTAATTTAATGCCTCATATATCAGAAAATACTATGAACATAAATGGCATATGCTAGATCTCAGTATTCTACAACAAAGAATGTCAATAAATTTAAAACTAATTCCCATTGGCCACGCTGTTTTACAAGTCAAATCCTATTGGTTTAATTTTTTTTTTTTTTTTTTTTTTTTTTTTATACGGAGTTTCGCTCATGTTACCCAGGCTGGAGTGCAATGGCGCGATCTCGGCTCAC